TCCAGCTGGGGAAGGGAGATGGGAAAGAGTCAGCAGAGGCTGAGCTGCAGGGGGGTGGCGGGGGAAAGACCACTTCTGAGAGGCTACCGCTGTGCTTCAGCTGGAAAAAGAGCTTCTGGGGGATGGAGCCCCTACATCCAGGGTGCCCCAGAGATGGAGAGCAGCAGCACCCTTCCTCCTGGCTTATAGATCAAGGTCAGGGGTGCTGACTTCCCACTCCTCCATGCCCATGGTCTCCATGCCCATGCCTACCATTTGGAGAACCCCTCCCCTGCCCCCCACCGCCACCACCACAACTCAGAGATAGACATGGCACCAAAGAGTGAAGTGTCAGAAATAGCAGGTTTCTACAGTTCTCCTGTAAGCCATGTAATTGCTCTAAGTCATTGAATTTACAATTGTAGAATGAGTATTATAATACCTTCCTCCGCTGATAGACAGCTTGAGTTCAATTCCCAGTAGCAAGTTGGAGGGATCTCTATGCATGCACTGACTCAGACTTAGGAAGATAAGGCGAGGTACCTCCTCGCCAGTTCTGATTGGTGAGCAAGACAGACATTCAAATAGCTAGTGATGCTGGGAGGCAGGTTGGCCGTGGGCGGTGCAGGGAGTCATGTGCTGCCGAGGCCCCGGTGACAGGGCCATCTGTGGAGGGGGAGCATGGGAGGACCAATGCAGGTGTCACAGACAAGGTGGCAGCATCTAGGCCTGTTGCTGAGCAGTGAAGAGTGGACACCAGGCATTCCCAGGGGAGAGGACAGAAAAACGACCCCACAAACTTTCCAAACACCAAAGAAGATGAAGAAACCGCCAAGGAACAAATGGATAGGTTTGAGTTACATTAAAAATATAAAGTGCCTATGTGTCAAAATATGTTATCCATAGGATGAGAATATATATCAACTGCTGGGGAAATTTGTCTAACCTGTGATTAAAAGTTTCCTTTCATACAACTGCACATTAAGAACCTAATAGACAAGTAAGTGGCCAGTTCCCTAAAATTGCAAAGAAACAACAACCAAAAAAAAAAAAACCCCAGAAAAAGCTGGTAGCACATAGAGAGAAAAAAAATCAATCTCACTCTCACTACTACCAAATAAATTCAAAATAAAACAGCAGGAAGGTGCTTTTAGGTAAAAATTAAAATTAGGATGTTACTCGAGGTCAGCTGAAAAAACAGTACAATGGACATGCATGTGTGAGCACAGCTGTGGAAAAAGGTAAATTGGATTAGCTTCTAGAAAGCAATTTGGCAATATGTATCCAGAGCCTTTAAAATGTTTATACCTTTTGATTCAGTAATTCCACTTCTGGGAATCTGGCCTATGAAAATAATCTGAAATGCCTGCAAAGGTTTATGCTCAAAGATATTCTTCAGAATTTTGCTATAAACAGACTAGCAGGCCAATCGTTAAATAATGTTCCAATAAGTGGTGTGACATATCACGCAGTATTGGCGCCATTAAACATATTCTGGTGGGGGGTTGTTAAAGCTCTTGGAAAACCCTGTGATGCCAGCTTCATGAGTTTAAGGCCTGTGTACACAGGACATGACTCTACAAAATTGTTCTTAAAGAATTGTATCCTCTAGGTGGCGGGGTCCAGGACATGATTTTGATCGCTTCAACCCTCCTTTCCAACTTTAGAAGACAGGTCTACACCAGCAATTCCAGAATAAAAGGAAGCAGAAGACACTGTAAGACCTGTTCAGGGAATGACAAGAAGTTGCTGTGGTAAAACACTCAATGGATTCTTGTAGGTGGCACACCTGTAATGCAAGGTGTGAAGAAAACACAGCACAACCTAGATGGAGGCCAGAAGGTAGGGGAGACATTGCAGATTGTCAAGTTTGCTGACGTTGTCTCCGAGGGGGCAAGGAGTGGCAGACATAGCTACCAACTATCTAGTGATCACCCATGACAAGACACAGGGAGAAGGTGCTTTGGAGAGGAACTCAGAAAGCATAGGTAAAGAATGTATTATTTGAATTGCCTTCACTGAATGGCTTCAAGTTTCCAAATTATGCCCAGCATTGTAGCAGAGAAGGTACAATGTTGGCATTCCATATGGGCACTGGTTCAAGCCCTGGCCATTCCACTTCCCTCCAAGCTCCATGCTAATATACTTAGCAAAACCCCAGAGGATGACCCACTCGCTTGGGACCCTGTATCTATTTGGGAGACTCAGAAGAAGCTTCTGGCTTCCAGCTTTGGATCAGCTCAGCTTTAGCTTTTGCAGCCATTTGGGGAGTGGCCCACCAGATGAAAGGTCTCTCTCTTTTATTCTTTCCATAACTCTACATTTAAATAAATTATTTTTAAAGAAAAAGCCAAATTTATTATCTTTTTTTAGTACTGGAGGGCAGAAGCCTGAATCCATTTTCTTGGACAGGATCATGCTGTTGGGCATTGCCAATTATCACAGAGCTCTGAAAGGGCATCCGCTCCTTTGCCTTTTCCAGCTTCCTGTCACCACCTACACCCCTAGGGACTGGCTTCCATCATTACAACTACTTTTATAAAATATTCCAATGTATCTTCTTAGAAATTAGTTTATTTGAAAGGCAGAATGATAAAGAGACCGACCAAGCTCTTCCATGCACTGATTCACTTTCCAGGTCCCTATCACAGCCAGGCCTGGGTCAGGCCAAAGCTTGAAGCCTGGGACTTCAACCAGATCTCCCACATGGAAGCCAAGAATTCAAGTTATTGAGCTCTAATCTGTTCCCTATCCAGGAGCACAGGCAGGAAGCTGCATCATAAACATAGGGTAGCACAACTCAAACCAGCACTCCTGTGTGGCTTGCAGGAGTCCCGCAACTACACCCCAACACCCATCCTACACATCTCTTCCTTCGTACCCTGACTTCCTTGCTTCCTTTTTAAGAGAGTCTTTGTGGTCATCTTGGGCCCTCCTGGATAGCCCAGGGGAGTCTGTCCTCTGAAGACCCCACAATCATATCCCCAAAGTTCCCTTTAATTATGTAAGGCAAGATGTTCATACTGGATACCAGGAATTAGGATGCAGCTATTTGGTGGTACATTATTCAGCCAACTCAGATAGGTACCCTTATGTGAAGACTATTCATGAGCACTGGTGAGGCAGACACTGGCCATAGTGGAGGAACCCTCCAGAAACTCAAACAATTTGTTGGAGAAAACGTAAGGATTGGCACTCATGTTCTGGATCAGGTGGCAAGAATTGATGGACAGATGAGGATGGGCAGGTACAAGGACTGTCAGGAGTCTGGACCTAAGCATACAGCAGGCTATGAGTACATCATCACATGAGCGTCACACAGCCCTGCAGTGCTGGGTACATGGAAACAGACTGAGGCCACAAAGACAATGTGGGCCCAGATCACAGAGGACCTTAAGTAGCAAGTTAGAGGAAAAAGGACCACTTTCCCATGCCCTGGAGTTAGAGGCCCAGCCAGGCTGGAGGCCAGTGTGAAGTATCATGTGGCTATCTGCTGTCGTCTGACAACCAAGCCTTCTCTGAGCTACCCTGGAAAAAAGAGCAAATCCCTCCCCCTAACCCCCATGCCCTCAGGACCACAGCATTGTCCTCCCATGAGCTGCAGAGAGCAACTATACTGTGTGACAGGCTGGGTCCAAGATGCAGTATTGACTGTGTGACTTCAGACAAGCGGCCAACACTTTCTGACCTCAGTTTCCCCATTGGACCTGCCTAGCTTCCTCATGGAGTCAGAAGTGCTAAGGTGGACAGAAGAATAAGTAAACAGGCTAAAGTTGGCATTAATTTCAGTACTATATTGGGACAGTCTAACGAATGAACCATGGTGAGATTTTTAGGAATTGAAGATGATCTAACATGTAGGACCCTACATCATAGTCAGCTGTGTCTTGTAACCAGAGTTGGAGAAAACGGAATGAATGTGAGGCTCAAAGAAATTGGGGGACTTCCCCATCTAAGTTCATCCTCTCCCCTCTCAGCTGAGCACTGATGTGTGTGGGGAGATAGAAATGGGGAGGCTGTTGTGGCATCAGCTACCATGGTGATGGAGCCAAAAACCCAGGTGGAAAGCCAGGCAACCACATGTGGGGGTCAACCCAGGCAGGCTCTGCCTGCTCATCTCCACAGTGACAAGAGGATCCTGGGTAGCAGGAGGCACCATCAGGCTTTGCTGAGGAATCCCGGGCAAAGCCATTCACTCAATAAGGGAAAGCAGGTCAGGTCAATCCTCTCACATTGCCTGATCTCTGAGGGTTTTGGAGACTTGAGAGGCCACAGTGAATTCATCCTGGTGTATCATCCTTAGTTCAGAAACAAATATTGTGTTCAGTATATACTGTCCCCTCTCTCCTTACTTAACAATGTGATTTCTCTAAGAATTTCAGAACCAGAGCAAGTGTTAGAGATGTAGTCAAAAGTCTCCTTTTATAGAAGTGGAGATGGGCCAGACGGAGGTGGGACGTGCTCAGACTCACAGAACCACTCTTGGAGAAGGCAGGTCCCAAGCTCTTAACACAGCGATGCTCTTCACAGCAGGAAGGTCTGCATGTTTTCAGAATCTACTCAAGAGGTAGAATCTGAGGTCAAGAGCACGGTGGCGATAGAATAAGAGGAGATGTATTGGACCAGATATGCCTCCTAAGTACCCCAGGTGTGACCTTAAGGATAGAGATAACTATGTGCAAATGAGCTCCACCTGTAAGCTGTCCACCTGGCACACTAATGCCATGGACTTGGAGACTTTAGAATGTGGATCAAACCTCAGCTGCTCTGCCCACTGTTACTCACCATTACTGGAACATGAGGAAGAGACGGATTTAGGCGTGGACTTGAACTTGGATTTGCTCTCAGCCTATCAGAGTTTGCCACAGTCGTGGCCAAATTAAGAAGAGGGTGCTTCCTCAGTTTGCTCCCTGGAATGGGCATGGCAGGGCGGGGTGATGCTATCTTGACAGTCTTCCAATGGGGCTGACCATTTGGGCCATCCACACTGACCATGGATGTGTGTCCCTGTGCTCTTCCAGGAACGTCCCCGGGCTCCAAGATGGCGTTACAGAGTTCCTTCACTTGTTGGAATGGGACAGTACTCCGGCTCGGACAGGCCTGTGACTTCCACCAGGACTGCACCCAGGGAGAAGACGAGGGCCACCTGTGCAGTGAGTACACAGGGGCTGCCCCTGCTGTGCCCCAACCCAGCTCATCCCAACTCTCCTGCCCCATCACCCTGAGCATATTGAGCCTGGACAGCCTTGCTGAATTCTAGAGACATTCTTGGCTGGCCTCCTGGAGGCTTGAGAAGTCACACCGCCTCCAAGAACCAGACCTGATATCTGTAATCTCAAAATAGCACAGCCCTCTGTGGGCTGCGGCCACGTAGGTCAAAAACCAAAGATGTTGTAAGCGATGCTGTCAGCATCCTCAGGCACAAAGAAAATGTGCAGGACACAGCCCATCTGGATAACATGGCATCAGAATCCCCCATACTGAAAGCCCTCTTTCTCTCCAAACCCTTACTTTCATGACTCCCAGCCTCGTTCCCCTTCCCCATCTTCTCTGTGCCCCTGTTCCAGCAAAATCAACCCACCCTGTGGCTCATGCCTCCATGGCTTTGCATCTGTGGTCCCATTGGCCAGAATGCCCTTCCCTCTCTCAAATCACACCTATGCCTTCCCTACCTACCTCAAGAATTGATTATTGCAGGGTGTCTCCCCTGACAGTTCCCTGAGTGAAGTCACTTCAATCCCTCCCCTGCATCTTGACCTATCCATCCATCTGTCACGGTGCCCATTTAATTAACAGCTTTTATCAAGATGCAATTCATATAGCATACAATTCACAGGCTTCAGGTGTGCAATTCAGTGCTCAGTCACTCATCACCACAATCTAATTTTTTTATTGTCCTCAGGGAACCCATGACAGTCTCTCCTAGTCAGTCCCTTCCTCCTGCCCCGCCCCATGACCACTAACCAACCACTGCATCTTTCTGTTTCCATCAGTTGGCCTATTCTCTACATTTCATACAACCCAACCACAGAACATTAAGACTTTTGTGATTCATTTTTTTCATTTAGCATGGTATTTGGGGGATTGTTCCGCTCTATGGCATGCACCAACACTTTATGTTTCTGGTTTTCTGAATATTATTTTGTCATATGGCTTATCCACCGATTGGTTAGCATTTGTGTTGTGATTAATGCCACTGTGACCATGTGTTTGTGAGAACATATATCCTCTCTTTGAGTATATACCTAGGAATAGAATTCCTGGGATCTTCTGGTAACGCTAAAGATAATATTCCAAGAAGCCGTTAGTGGCTGTACTATCCTCCATACCCACCCACCATGTCTGAAGATCTGATTTCTCCACTTTGTTGCCAACATTTATTGATGTCTGCCCTTTTTTAGCCATCCTGATAGACATGTCTCCATTGTTTTTTTGGAGGTTGTTTCTACATCTCTCTCTCTGTGGACAGATAGGTTCCAGTCCTCTTTCTCACAGCAGTATTGTTCATGAGTCCTAGCACAGTGTTGGCGCTCACTATCTGTTGATAGAAATGGGTTACGGGCAGGGTGGACACAGCCAGTGCCTCCCTTAACCTGGTCACAGTGTTCCCACCAGCATACTAGAAGACAGCACTCCACATCTCTTTATGCTTTGTCAGGAAAACCACAAAGGCTTGCTGGACACATACAGGGAAACACAGCATGTGCTAGATCCTGTCACTTCCCCTCAAAGCACTGGGAGCCCACAGCAGGTGCAGAGGGCCACACAGAAGAGCTCTGGACTGGGAAAGAAGGTTGAGGTACTTATGTACCTGCAGTGTCCAGACAGGGAGCGAGTGCCACACATCACCCAGAGATACTCAGAGACCCGGCATCACTGACTTGCAAAGAACTTTACAAATAGCTTTTAAAAGTTTGTCCCCCTAATCATTTTGATTCCTTAGTGACAGAAAAAAACAGTTTTATTTATTCTCCTGTAAACAAAGAAGACATTATTTTTCCATTTTAAAAGGCTCAGTTTGAAGCTGTGCAGCTGCATTTGCATCCCAGCTCTGCTCTGCGTCCCAGCTTCCTGTGAGCCACCCTGTGAGCCAGCAGGTGACAGCTTGAATGCTTGGGTTCTGTTCCCTCCGTGGGAAACCTGGGTTGAGTTCCCTGCCCTGCCTAGTTCTTGCAGACATTTGGGGAATGAGCCACCAAATGGGAGATTTGGATCTCTGTCTCTTTTTCTCTCTCTGCCATTCAAATAATTTCTGAAAATACTGTTGTGACCCTGGCTTTTCAGAGTTCTCGCTGCACGCAGGGCTCAACATACAGCCGAGCTAATCACCTCAACCGCCATCACCGTTGCTGTCAGCAGGGACCTATGTGTGTCTCTCTAGTTACTTGTGTCTTCAGAATTTCCAGCGATGTCACTTGTCTGTGTGACTCTCTAGTGGCCTTTGTTAAGTTTTCTGATACCTACAAGCCCAGCCTGCAACCTACAGGCTGAGCAGGCTGTGCCCTGCTTTGCTATTGGGAAAATGAAGACACAGAAAGAGTCATGACACAGCCTGTCAGGGACACTGCTGAGACTCACAGTACCAAGCTCATTTGTCCAACTCTCCAGGGGCTGTTGTGGGCATCTGGGGAGTGAATCAGTTAGATAATGGTGCTTTCTCCCTCCCCTCCCTCTCTCCCTCTCAAATAAATAAACAATGGAAAAAAGGAAGCCCTGCTAGCCAGTAACTAAGCAGTTATTCAGACTCTGTGAGCCCCTAAAGATCAACCTCACTTGTTTTATGGGGTTCTAACACTTGGTTGTACTATGCCTTCCACCCAGGATCAACTGGGGAGACCTGAGGCTCTACTCCCACCCTCTGGGGCAGGGGGAGTAAGCCACTGGCCTCCACCCTGTGGTTCTTGGCCTCTTTATCTCTAGCACAACGCCTACTAAGCACACAAGAAATGGTAGCCCACACTCTTAAGAATGGTGTCTTCATCAATCAGCAGAATCCACTTCCGTTTGACAGGGAAGCCCTCCCGACGGCACTTGGTCTTTCCCAGGCAATCTGGAACCTGATCAAGCATGTTCTCTGAGCTAGTTTTTATGCATGCTGCTCTGCTGGGGATGGCCAAGTTCTCTAAGGAAGCCTCATGACGGTCACTTAATCTTGGGCTAACATAATTAGACAAACGCTATCATGCTTGGAATTTGGAAGGGGGAGGTAGGTTGCATTTAGTCAATTCATGCAACCTGAGGGGCAGCTTTCCTCAGCTTCTGCAGTGGGAATTCCCTGTACACCCCAGGCCTGCAAGCAAACTATCGGGCTAGCCCCATGCAGCACTACTGGATCTTCTGAATTCTAGGAGTTGTCTCAGCTAAGTGGAAGGCCTGAGATGGGGATGGCATCACTTGCCCTTTTCTAGCCAGTTGTGGCATGCACCTGCCCATCAATACTCCTTCCTCCCTCTAAACCCATTGCCTGCAAGCCCTCCTCTGCCTTCCTCCAACCCTGCTACCACCGCAGTTCTAGTGACTCGGCCAATTGAGCCATCCCCAGATACTATAATGCGTGGCAGGGTGTCTGCTGGGTTTCCTATGTGTCCTGCCCAATAGGCTTCATGGCATATGGTCCCCAGAAAGGAGTGAGGAATCCCCACTGTATTTACTATGGGTCACTCACTCACTGAATGTTGCAGCAGATCACTCCCCTACTGTCAGATCAATAATCTCCTTTATTTTTGTTGAGGGCGAGGAGACATTCTCTTTCTGCCAGGCAAAGAGATCTTTGAAAGTTGATTTCCTCGTCATGAAATAAAGCATGCATGCTATCTGTGAACTGCTTGGGGAAGCTAGAAAAGAGCACAGAGGGAAATAACAATGGGCCATAATCCTCCTTCTCAGACATTCAAAGATAACCATAAGATGTTGATGTATTCCTTCCAGCATTTTTCCCATGACTCCCTATTTTCAAGAAAATGTATGACACTTATTTATCAAAAATGTTAACAGAGTTGTCACATGGGAAGGAGAAAGAAGTAGTGTTGTTTGGCCTGGAATTGATACTTGGCAGCTCCTAGGGCTGCGGCTGAGGTCACATCTCTGTGACTGGGCCAATTTGTCTCTCTTAGAGTGGAATCAGGTGTCATAATTGCCACATGTTGCAGGATTGATTGACCCACACAGGGCCCTAGGTGACCAGTCAGCCAAGGAAATGGCTGGCTGCTGCCCAAGAAAGGAACTGAGTAGAATAGTGCTGCTCAGACGTTGAGGTGCGTGGAACCTAACCTGGGGAGCTCGTGAGAAGTGCAGATTCCAGCTCAGTGGCCCGGCAGGAGCCAGAGAGTCCACACATGGAAGTTTCAAAGGTGATGCTCATCCCTGTGGCTTTCCCCAGACCTCGTTTGGAATGGCATGGAGTTAAAGGAGGGAACCTGCCCCCCATTTTGTACAGGAAAGTTTAAGTACTAAGGTCTTGACTCTGGCTGAATGTAAAGCAGGTGCTCAGAGTGATGGGATGAGAACAGCATTAGTTCATGTGTGTGGATCCAGCCCTGGGAACCAAACTTTTGCTCAGCAGTTGGCCTCCCTGAGCATTTTCTAGTCCCCCAGAGGGCTGTGTTCTGACCACCACTCCCACAGCCCCCACCCCACTTCCTTGGGAATGACATTTTGCTGAGCAAGTTGCCCTGATGTGCTTATATTCATGGAATTCCTAAAAGTTCCTCTTCCTCCCTACAGGACTTTGTAACCTAAATTGTCCATTGGCCTATCTTGTTCCTTTGCTTGCATTCTCTTTCTCTTCAATAAGGCAAAAAGAAATGAAACTTCCAATCCCAGCTCACTCTGTGTCCTGGGCTGGCCAGCAGAAGCAAGGGCTTCCACTTCTGGAAAATGGAGCATGCCCAGGGCTTTCCTCATTCTTGCCCCAGGACCTGGGAGCACAGAAGGAGTTGCCACTCTAGCAGCTGGCATGGGGCATGTCAGGGAAGGGGTTGGGGAGAAGGAATTGGCTCTGCCCCCTCCCAACCGGTTACTACTGCTGGTACCCTGAGATGCTGCCCTACTCCAGGTATCTAGGATAACTATGACAACTGCAGTAGCTTTTTATTTCATAACTCTGGCTGTCAACAGTATGTTTCCATGCTGTCTCCCTCACCTGTACCCTCAGTCAGGCCCCATGAAATACTCAGTCACTCCATTTCACAGGTAAGGAACCTGAGGCTGGCAGGAAGGAAGCGACTTGCCCGAGACCCTGAGCTGAGGGTTCCAGATTCCAGTGCTGCTGCTGTGCCAGCACCCCTACGGCAGGCTCAGTTTCTCCCTCCACTTCCTGAAAGGTCAGAGCTAGGAGAGAGGTGCCGGCCTTGCAGCACGGCCCGCCTCCTCCCTCCTCTTTGGCCAGCCAAACCCCTCCTCGGGGTCCTTGGCTTCTAAGGCACACTTATGAAGAACACTCAGCAGAGGTCACTCACAGCCACCAGCTGGTTTCTGCACAAAGGAGTAGATATGGGATCCCTGGAGGGGTAAGTGAAAAATATAACAGATCTCCTTAGCGTTTGGATTTTTCATCAGAAGCAGATGCGGTGCTTGGGAAGGGGGGCAGGGATTTCTTTAGGGGGCATAAATGGGAAGAGCTGCTCAAAGCCAGTGACAGCCTGTTTTAATTTATAATTATGCCTCTGTGTGAAATGCACAGAGAATTGGGGGAATGAGTAATAATTCACCAAGGTGCTGTCACAGCCAGGAAGCATCAAGGCGCCTGTTGTCAGAGGAAGGACAAGGAGAGCAGTGGGTCCCAGCCAGCCACAGAGCCCTCCTGCCTCCTATGCAGAGGTGTGGCTTGGCCCACAGCAGCCCAACAACTCCTTGAGGCTGAACCTTGCAGGAACCATCTCAGAGTCAGATGGACAAAGTGAGCCCTGACTAGTCCTCTTCTCCTTGCCCCCTCTTTTCTGGCCAGCTGGAAAATGCGTGAAAACTGACCGCAGCCTCCTGCTGTGCAAAAAAGCATTATGGATCCTTCCTGCCGAAGTCAACACAGGCTACAAGGAGGCCGGAGTGATCACAGTTGGCTGGACTCTGTTGCCATAATAGACAGTCCCATCCTCTAGGTGGATTAAGATAGTGCTTGCAGCAACCTTCCAGTGAGGGTTTTGGAGGGAGAGAGGCTGGTGCTCTGTGGACTCAGCCAGGGACACGGCTGGCAGGGGTTACCCCACTCAGAAGAGACACCATCACTTCCTGGCATAGTGTTTCCCCTGGCTGCAAAGGAGTAGAGAAATAAAGGGAGAGAGAATACAAAGTTACAAGCAAAATATGTGTCTGTGGACAGGTGATCATCATCATACATATCATCAGAAACATGTTCTGGGGAGTTACACACTGAATTTTCCTGGTGTTTACATCCACGATGGGAAAGCAAAAGAAAAAAAAACACAGAATTTAGAAGTGAAAGATCTGGTTTGGAGTCCCACCGGGGGGCTGCCAACTGAATGATGTTGACCAGGTTGCTTGACTTTTCTGAGGCTCTGCTTCATTGTCTATCAAACCAGGCTGATGATACCCATGTCGGGGAATTGTTAGAGTTCCTGCTTTATCTTCCCTAAATCAGAAAATGGTGACCCAGTGGCGGTGGACGGGGCAGAGGTTCCTATGCCAGGACCCCAGGTGTTGCTAAGGAGGACAGTATGATCACACCTGCCTCAGTTGCTGTGACATTGGCATATTGCCTTTAGTGGCCTTGGAAATAACTGCACCCTTGTGCCCTCTGCACAGGTAAACTCCCTACTGGCTTTTACTGCAACTTTGAAGATGGGTTGTGTGGCTGGACCCAAGACATGCTCTCCTCCCAGGGACCTCGGTGGCAGGTCAGGACCATGAAGGATGCCCGGTCCCAGGGCCACCAAGGTACTACCCTCCTTCCCTTCCCCTGATTCCCACATGAACACATGAAAAACTTAAGGACCAACCCCAGAGCTCCCAGGCATTTCCCTGTCCTGCAACACAAGCCCAGGTACCTGCCAAACCTTGACAGAGTGCTCACCCACAACTCCCTCTCCAAACCTTCTTGAGCTTTAGGATGATGATGAAATCTGACCAAGGTAAACAGTAACTTTGAGTACCTAACATGAGGATTGTACCGAAGCACCAACTGAGATTTAAGCCACAACCATGAGATCCACCTTGGCTAAGTTTTGCTAAGGTCTGACCATGTGACAGGTGTGTGATTCATTGGTAGGCATAGTCCCTTCTGTGACTGGGAGACTGAGGCCTTAGCTGGGAATCTTGGCCTGCAGCCGGCCTTCTCAATCACACTCCCACTCCCACCCCAGCAGGAGTTGGCAACGTCCCTGCTTAACTGCCAGAGAAGGCAAGGTCTCCACACATACACATCCCCAGGAGATGTGCAGAGACCCCAGGCCAGGCAGGGCATGGGAGCAAAGAGAGTAGGTGAGGCCAGCATAGCCACAAAAGCCAGGTGACTAGACACCATACTGAAGAAACAAGAAACTCACAGCTGTAGAAGAAACAAGAAACTCACAGCTATTTGAGTGTCTCTGCTCCCCATGTCACTAGGCCCCCCCAGAAGCAGCCATGGCCTTGTTGAACACAGGACTCTCACCACCTCAAGAGTGGTCCTTGTCTGTGTCTAGGAGCTCTCTCAATCCCAGCCCAGGCATCCCTTATGAGAAAGCCTCTGCCTCTGCACAAGTGTGACTTTTGGCTCCTGGAACCCACAGGACCAAACTACCCTCTCTTCTACAAAGGCAGCCCTTCCAGTATTTGAAGAAAAAAAATTGACATGCCAAATCTCACAAGGGCATGTCTGTCTCCCATTGCCTCATCCTGCTCCTTGAATCTGCCCATGCTTGCCCAAATTCCCAGCCTGCCCTGCTAGCTAGGCTCTGCATCCTGTTGAGCTTGCTACTAGGCAGTACCTGGGTAACAGACTCACCTATGAGACAAAAAAGAGGGGCCATGAATGGCTGAGGCAGCCTCAAGGTTCTGTAGGCCTCCACAAAGGTGGGGAGCTCACCATGGCTCCTTCTGTCACAGCATGGGCCATCTCCACAGTGCTACGCAATTGCTGAAGGTTTCCAACCACTTCCCACCACCACATAGGATCATGGTCTGCCAAGCGGCTGAGTAAAGTGGTGCTGAGAAAACATGGCAATGCATCTGCCTGGGGAGGGCATGGGTATAGGAGGGGGTGGGCTCCAGAGCAAAGGGTGAAGAATATAAAGACTGTCAGAGGGCAAAGTGTTGGCATGCATGGGGTTGGGGAAGTGTGAGGAACCCAGCTGTCTCAGGCTGTTCCTGGACTGTGGGCTGTGACTGATGACCTCAGAACATTAGGGCTGGAATAGCCAGACATATGAGGCTGGGAGCTGGCAGGCAGTTTGGAACAAAACTCCTTTCCTGTGTCAGGTCACTGTGATGGTGACAAGTGTGCTTTCTTAGCCCTTGTAGGCCAGAAACCAACAACTTGAAAGCTATTGGAGGCTAGGTCAGAGCTGTCCACCAACCCTGCCACACCTGAGACCCCCTCATTTCATGATGCTGGTACATTTGTCACCGTCTTCCTCTCTCTGTCCCCAGATCATGCCCTGCTGCTCAGCACCACCGAAGTCGCCACATCTGAGAGCGCTACCGTGACCAGTGCTACATTCCCAGCACCAATGAAGAATTCTCCATGTGAGGTGAGTCTCAGTAGCCCCTCAAGCTCTCTGTCCCCCTCTTCCCATCCCTTGGTCACTTTCCGATAAGACAGATGAAGGGAGCAGCCTGTGTGGCTGGGCTGGTGGTTCTCCTAAGAGGAAAAGAAGGCCATGGTTGCCTTCTTTTACACAGGGTGCATTCACTCACATGGTAAAGTTGTACCTGAAGAGAATCTTACCTCCGCTACACTGAGTTGTTCACAGTAAGACCTAGATTTAAATATTTACAAAAATGTATTTCCCCAAGGCAATTTTTACAAAGGACTTTACACAGAATTCTTTTTAAAACTAGATAGCTCTTACAATCATCTTATATATTATAGAGTACCAAAATTTTGATTAATGTGAATTTCAAAAAGATAGCAATGCTGTTTACCAAAGTGCCTCCAAAGCCACTTCTCCAAATGGCCCCCTGAAACTGCTGCTTCTTTATGCAGACTGAAGGGCCATGTTTCTTCAAATGCAGTCATATTCTCCAGAGGACAGATGCATATGCTTAAGACCCCAAAATGGCATGTGACGAAGCTAATGAACTCTGGAATCAACTACCTGAATACTAGCCATGTTCTACCCCCTGATGAGCTGCATAATTCACTGGAGGGGTTATATAAACCCGAAAGGCCCCAATTTCCTCACCTGCAAGGTGGAGACACCCTCCCTGCACCTGCTCCAAAGAGGAGAGGATTAAGTAGTTTAGTAATGTAAAGGACTCAGCAAGCACCTGACAAGGAAGCACCTTAGTAGAAAGCCAACAATGCATATTGACATCCAAAAGGAGCTGGTGGGAAGAGGGAGGGGACTTCAGCCAAAAACCAGGCTCTGAACTCTTAGAGAACACACCGTGCCATGTGCGGTGTCACACTCCCCGTGGCACCTGTGTCAACACTTTACATGGAGCAGAAAGCTGAGAGTTCAGATCTGGCCAGTGTTCTCTTTCTAGAAACTCACAGGAAATATCCCAGGCCATCCTGGTCTCAGGAATAGTTATGCACCCTGTGAGCAGCATGTTTCCTTTCAAATGGGGCACGTGATGAAACTGACTAGGTTCACATCTGTTCTGGTGACTGGGAGCAATGCCAGGGAGGAGGCGCTCTGGCTGGGATTCCCTCCCCAAGAGATGAAGTTCAATTCTCCCCGATTTCTTGTGAAATAAAAACTCACAGACATTAACACATGGAAAGGGAAGGAATGAACAAATGCTGGCTGTATTGTTTGAAATTGGAGGAATGGTTAACTGGAAGCTGAGGCTCCCTGCGTCGTGAGCAGATAGGATTTCATGATGCGAGGTTTGCAGCAGCTTCTCTCCTGCCCTGGTTTTCTCACTCCACCTTTGTCGCATCTTTCCCCCGTCTCATCTGACTTAGGCTATTTACTGGGTTTTGTGTCTCTTTGAAAATCCTTTCTGGAAGAAGGCTTGGCACAAATAAATAGATGTGCTCAATTACCTTGTATTTGGGAAACCACGCTGTCTGGTGCAGATGGTGGAATGCCACTGTCATTTCTGGTATTTCTCGAATGCCTCCAAGCAGACAGCTAGAAAGGAAGGTTTTCCGAAGACAAAATAGAAATGGGGACAAATGGTTGGCCCACCTGAGAGAACAAGGAGGAGGCTGGAGAGCATGAGGTCCCGAGTTCGCTATTCTCTGGCTTTTACATGAGCCTGCTTCCAGAAAAAGAAATGTCAGGGTACACGTGAGCTTTTTCTAATATTTCATCATTTCTCTAATAACCTTCGTGTTGATCAATAGCCTAAACAGGTGTTTTGTTTACTGGTCTGTTTCTTCCTGCAGTGAAATGTGCTCTGGGCTCTTTCTGCTGTTTTTTGCCCTTTTCCCGAACCAGTTCAGGAGGCATAATGAAGGGAAAGGATTGGATCCAATCTATATTCCCATTACTTATGCCTCTAGAAATAATGTATGTTAAATATATCCACATTATTCCACAACTAGATTTTCAGGCCATTCATCCCACAGTGGGTGAGAGGTGAAGGTTGTGGGGTCGGGAGGGAAGTCTTTGAATTCCCAATGTCGGGAGACACATTTTGATGGAAACACAAAGAACCAACACAGAAATTGACATCTTCAGCTTGGAAATCCCTGCTGATTATCATGTTCTCACCCCAAATGCCAGGGGTGGAAGTTGACTTCCTTCTCCCAGGCTGGCTGAGCACAGTAGGACGTCAAAGCTGGCACAGGCTGTGGGGCCTCGGCACAGGAAGGAGGCCACGACACACACAGCCACCAAGCGATGGTTTCTGTGGCAACAGGCCCACAGAGATGGGCAGCTGGCCATGCTGGACAGCCAGGCTGACCCCCGTCACCCAGCATCTCTTCTAAATCTAGGCCCTTGTGTGAAAGCGCACGCTGTCTTGGAACATTCCCCTAAGAAACGCTACCACTGTGCACGATTCTCACAGATGGCCAACAGTGCCAACGAATGTCCTTCAGAATCAAGAAAGTCTCTGTGTCTTTACCTGCACGCACCTGGGAGATGTAATCAACGCTGGTGTTCTTGAGCCCCCACCTGGGACCACCCGGATGGCTAATGAAGTGGGAGCTGGCACTCTAGTTTCAAAGCACACCCTCAGTGATTTGACTTCCCACAGAAACTTGAGTGTGTCTGGCCATAGCTGTGCCTGGAATCCTGCTCAACTCCTGCCCTGGGTGTGATGGAGTCCACATCTTAGATAAGTCTGAATCAGAGTAGGGAGCAGGAAGTGTCAGAGTAGCACTGAGGCAGAAGAACATGGAGGGGGGCTGGGAGAGCATATGGTCCCGGGCCAGATGCCCACCAACCCTGGAGATGTAGTAGGGGTGTTATCTTTGTGTCAAGCCAACCTCCAGGGCAATCTAGAAGCATGCCAGCTCCCACCACCTCCCTCTAAGCGCACACCGGGCAACCTGGGCCTCGGGCATTGCCTCCCCACTCTCTGCACAGTCGCTCAGAGGCTGTGAATATTTAAAAACCTCTCAGCCTGGCACAGCCACAAACAAGAGAGAGCCTGGTACCCCCCCATACTCCCCCTGTCCATCACAAGCTATTCTCTGCCGAGAGCCTGGGGATTCCCCTGACAATAGCTTCTGACTATATTTTATTTTCTATTTATTTCTATCTTGCCAGCCTCCAGTTCAAATAATTAAATGTAACCCCCCTACCCCTGTGGTAGGGAAGGGAGCTGTGGGGTGGCTTGTGTGTGCTGGCTTCCTGTCGGACCTGAGCCAGTCCCCGTTGCCTTTGAGACACACTCAGATGTGTCCAGCATTGCAGCTGCACCCCTCCCCCTGCCTTTCACACATCCTAGAAGCCCGAATGTCTCAACAAGCCCCATGTGGTTTGAAATTCTATTTTATTTGAATAGCCTGCCTGTGACTAGAATAATTTAAACTGTGTTCTCAGGCCGGAACAAGGACTGAGAGGGGAAAAAAAAAAAAGAGAGAGAGGTGGACTTTCCTTCCCTGTTGTCTTCTGAAACAGGGACATAGCTTTCCTTCTGTAAGGTACAGAAGGCAAGGTGGCACAAGGAGGGTCAGGCTGGTCATTTCTCGGCTGCTTGGTTTACTTACCTTGGAATGGATGCAAATTGCTCCTCTCCCTACACACACACACACACCACACACCACACACCACACACACACACCACACACACCACATACACCACATACACCACACACACACACACACACACACACACCACACACCACACACACCACATACACCACATACACCACACACACACACACACACACACACCACACACACCACACACACCACACACACACACACACACACGGCTGGGACCTTTCTACATCTGACATTAACCCTATGGATGAGGAGTTGGCTTTGAGTTGCTGCCTGGGCAGGGCTGCTATGATAAGGGAGAGAGTTAACTGCTTGTCTGCCTGGGCTCACCTACAGAGAAAGTGACCCACACTGCGTGACCTGGAAAAAAAAAGTCCACTATGGTTTTCAGGAGCTTGGGGGGAAGGAGGGGACGAGAACCTGGAGTTTTTCTCTGAGGCCCACCAAAACCTGCTCCATGCCCCTCGAAGAGGGAGACCCCTACAGCAGACAGGGCCCTGGAGGCTGGAGGCTGGGGACTTCTCCAGTAACTGCTGCCCGATAGATTCAGCAAGGCTTCTGCGGGGTGTTGGTGATCACTTCCGCCAGCACCCATCCTGAACCTGCAGTCTCATGCTGTAGATCAGAGGATCAGGCAAGGATCCTGATTGTTTTGATGGTGCTTCTTCAGGCTTCCCTACTACCTCCCCTTCTCTGTAGATAGACACATGGAACATTCAGGATAGGGGAGAGAGAGGAACTCTTCTGATTGCTGTGGTTTTCAAGGAGTTTCTGATTCAGGAAATTTCTTTTCATCTCTCTTCACTACAGAGCAGATCAAGTGTCAGGGCCCCTCTCCTTTCGTAATCTGGGCTGGGTGCACGCAAGGTTGCTTAGGAGAGGGGAGCCCCCTTCTCAACCTGGCAGGAGAGAAATGTACCCAAAGACTCTGGTCAGTAAACAAGACCAGAATTCAGACTCTGCGTCTGAATCTAGCCTTCCTCACAGGTGGGCTTAGAGGGGCTTGATATGAACCTCAACAGCATCAGGACTGTTCTCGCTGCCACGTGACTCAAACCCCACCAACCTCCAGCCCAACTGCCTCGTGCTGGGAGGTGGGAAGGAAGGAAAGGAAGCCACCCTTGCTTCATGGTGAACCAGCATTCCGCTTATCGTGTCCTCAGGTAGAACAACTCGCTGAGTCCAGCTCCTGAGTGACATTGCTCTGACTCGCGGGTCAGTTGTGCATTGCACATGCCCTTCATTCTCACCCATGGGCTTGATGCCGCTCAGGAACATTAGGAGAAGTCAGTGAGAACACTGTGTGGCCTCTGTGACCCCTGAACACAGCCTCGCTTACACAGTACTGCATCCTGAGTCCCCACGAGAGTCTGAGCTCTGGCAGCTGCCAGTGCCCCGGAGGC